TTGAGGGTGTCAGCAGCAGAGGTCGAGTCCCCACAGTGGGGCAGCCAGGGGGTCCATGGCTGTCCCCATTCCCCACCCCCCATCCCTGCCCCTCCCCCTCATTCCATTATCTGGGGGCTTCCAGGGACACCCCGTGGCAGCCTCGGGCCCAGCTCTGCCCAAGGCTCTCTCTCTCACAGCCTTCATGGGGGTGCCGCTCGCCTGGGCCTGGGCCTGGGCCTGGGCCTGGGCCCGGGCCCCGGCCGCCCTGGGCCCCTGGGGCAGCCCCTCCGGCCCGGGGCTCCCGCCGAGTGCAGAGCCGACCACGGTGCCCCGGTGAAGGGCCCCGTGGAGGCAGCCACCTGAGGCCATGGGGGTCGGTGCCCCCACTCCCTGTGGACTGTCCCATTGTGGGGTGTCCTCTTGCCAGCAGAGGGCCTTCCTGCTGTGGCGGGGGCGGTGGAGGGGGGAGGCTCCGGGAAGAGGGGGCGCCCGCCTGCCACATCAAGGCCGGCCCTGCCCCTGGGCCTGCGGGTGTGTGCTTGGCGTCCAGCTGACGCGCGGTCGACCCCGGAGAGGCCCCCTTCCTGGCGGGCTCCTGAGCTGGGCTGGGGGGGGGCACCACCCTGAGCCCCTGTGGCCCTGGGACTGCCCCCTGCTCCCCTGTGGAGCGGCTGGGGCTGGGGCTGGCCCGGGGGAAGGACACAGGCCCATCTGGTGGCTGTCCCGGCCTCGGCGGCCCCGTCACTGACCATGGATGCTGCTGGGCACCCTGGGTGCGTCCTCCCGTCCCGGTGGGGACCCTGAGGCTCCAGGGGTCGCAGGGCAGCTCAGTCTCCAGGTGGGAGGTTTGGGGGGGGGGCGGTTCCTTCCGCGGAGGCTAAAGGACAGCAAGGGAGGCTTGGGCTAGACACGAGGAGGGGCTTTGTGGAGCAGGGTCTTCCCGGCACTGATGGGCTGTGCTGTCCCGGCTGTGGCGGTGCCGGGGTCACCGTCCTGCCTCCTCGTCCATCCCCCTTGCGCCTTCTCGGGCCCTGGGCGGGGTGGCCGGGTGCCCGCCGTGGCGTCCGGTCTTCCACGCCGCCCAGCGTGAGGGAGGGCAGGGCTCTCGGGCCCGGGTGGGGAAGCCCGCAGGGTCCCCCCCGACCCCCGCCTCTTGGGACCCCAGCCCTCGGGCAAGGCTGCCGGCAGCTCCACCTTCTCGCCCCCAGGGGGTGGGGGTGTCTTGGCCGTGCCAGCGCACCGGAGGCCGTGTCCATGTGGCCTGCGGCCCCCCCACCCCATCCCGGGCAGGATCCTCTCTCTGGACGGTGCCCTGTGTGCCCCGTGCGTCCCGAGGCCCCGAGGCCGACCGGGCCCCTGCCTGTGGGGTCACTTCAGCGGGTCCTCTGGCACCTTCTAAATATACCCTCGGAGGGCTCTTATCTCGGGGTGGCCCGCAGCCGGGCTCCGTGCCCACAGCTGCCCTTGAGGGGCGGGGCCGGCCCCGCCAGGAGGCCCTGCCTCTGCTGAGCACCCACCCCGGTGCCTGGGCCCCTCCTGGGCGCCCCGCTGCGCCGGCAGGCCTGCGAGTGCACACAGTGTGGCTGCAGTGACAGCCGAGACCCTGAGGGCTGGGGCTCCCTTGGCCTTCCTGCTTGAGCCTGCTTGGTACCCCCCAGCTGGGGCAGCCCCTGGGCTGCCCCTGGGCCCAAGTCTCCTGCCACCGTGGGAGGGGCCGGACTCGGCCCCCCGCTGACATCCGGTGCCAGGTGGCTCTGTGCGGTCACCCCCCCTCACTGAGCTTCCCTCTTTCTCCCGGACGAGGGCAGACCCACATCTCAGGGTCCTCTCGAGGACCGGAGGGCACAGGGAGCGGGCTCCTGGGCGTTTGTCCCCACCTGCCCGCCACACCGGGGCCTCTGACCTGCCAGGCCCTGGGGGTCCCTGGGGGGGCCGCCACGGGGGCCTGACGGGAGGGAAGATGTGGGTCCCTGCTCCGTGGGCGGGAGCCCTGGCCCTCGGAGGCCTGGGAGGCGCCGGAACCCTTCCCCACAGGCTGAGTGCAGTGCCAGGGACGGCCCCGGCAGGACCTGAGGCCACTCCTCGGGGAGACCAGTGTCACAGGGGTGCCCATGATGGGGGGACACTGAGCTACCGTCCCGGGCGGGGCGGGACTCTTCCAGGGTCACTCGTGTGCAGAGGGAAGCCCCCCCAGGTCTGGTCCGGGATGGAAACTCTCCGGAACCCACTGGGCCTGCGCCTCACCGGCCCTTGGCTCGTCCCCGCCGGCCCCGGCCTGGGCGGGGGGGGCGTCTTCCGGAGCCTGCGTTAAAGCACGCATACGTGTGGCGCTCACTTAGTTTCTTTACATTTTTAAAAAATTGTGGTAAGACACAGGAGACGTACAACTTCCCATCGTAACCACGTTAGGGGCGCGGCGGCGTTAGACACTCTCACGCTGTCGTGCGGTCGCTCCGCCGTCTCCAGAACTCTCCGTCCGTCTCCCCCCTTGATGCTTGCTCCCCACCCTTCGCCGGCCCCGGCCCCGCCGTCCACCGCCCACGGCTTGGCTCGGGCTCCTCCGGGGACTTCCTGTCAGTGGGTCACGCGGGGCGCGCCCCATATGACTGGCTGCTTTCGCTCGGCCGGGCGTCCTGGAGGTTCCTCTTTGGGGGCGTGCCCTCTCTCTCTCTCTGCACCAGCAGGGCGTCCCGTGCGCGCCTCCTTGTGTGCATTCAGTAGACGGGGTGCTGCTGGCGTCCCCTGAGGTGCCCCGGCGTGGCCTCTGAGTGCCCTGGGATTCCGGCTCACAGCGCCCGGGGAGCCCACGGCTGGGCGCTGAGGTCGCCCCGCATGGCCCCCTCGGCTTCGCGTGTGAAGTGCGGGGTTCCCAGCAGCGACGCCGTGTGTCCCTGGGACACGCCCCATGGGTGGGAGCGTCCCCCGCCTTTCCCGGGGGTCCCGCCTGGCCCCTGCCAGTCTGTGACGGGCACCAGTCGGGCCAGCGCCGGGCGGGAGGAGGCCGGTGACCCCGCGCTGCTGTCCCCTCTGAGCGCCGCCCTGGCAGGGCACCCCGGGGCCTTCACGCTCCGGGGCGCCCAGCTGCTGCGGGCGGCGCCCTGATGTCCGATAACCGGTGTCCCCGACGTCCCCGGGGCTGGCGCTCGCGGGCGCGGCTCCGGAGGTGGCTCGGCGGCCGGGCACAAGTGGGGCTTTGTTCTGCGGGCCAGAGCTGCCCTGGCCTTGGGGGGGGCCTGCTCCCGCGGCGCGTGCCTCCAGGAAGTCAGCCGGGCAGCCCGGGGCCCGGGGCGGGGGTCTCCGGGGGTCGGCTGGCCTCTTCTCCACGCCGGCCGGCCGTGTCCAGGAGATGGGTCTGATTCCTGCTTTCCCCCGGCCCCCGTCTCCCAGCTCTGGGGCGTCTGGGACAGCCTCATGCGGGAGCCCCTGGACCCCAGCTGGATGGAGGGCAGAGGCAGGAGGGGGTCAGGCGCCCCCCAGGTGTGAGCCCCCGAGGCAGGGGCCCTGTGTGGGCACCCATGGGGCTCCCGGGGGGCTCCCGGGCCCACCCAGCCCAGGCCGGGGCAGACAGAAGCACGCCTTGTTGTCCGGGCCTGTCTGGAACGGGCACTCGGAGTTTGAGCAGCTGAGCGACCGGGAGGTTCCCTGGCCCGCACCCCAGAGCCTCAAGGTCGCTGGGCCTGGGGGCAGCTCCTCCTCGGGCCTCCTGGGGCAGAGGTGTGCCCACGGGGCCGTCGGGGGCGGACTGCCCCCTGGGGTCTCAGGGGAGAGAGACACGGCCTGGCAGGGCGCGGGGCCACCATGGCGGTGCCCTTGTGCAGAGGCTGCAGCCCGTCCCTCCCCGCCGGCGCCCCGGAGGCCGGGACAGGGGACGGAGAAGCTGCCGCACATGGCCTCCCGGGGTGCACAGGGTTAGCCCGGGCAGCGGCACCCGCAGACCTGTCCCCAGCGAGCCCCTTCCTCGGGCCTCACTGTCCCGGGTGTGGGACGGGAAGGTTGGGGACGGGGCTGTGGGGCGTGGGGCGCGTCCCTGGGGTGGGACCAGCGTGTGGACAAGGTGACAGCCGCACGATGCCCCGGAGGCGGTCCCGTCCGAGAGTCCCCGAACCTGGGACTGGCGACCGTCCACGGCCAAGGGGGCCCCTCAGGGATGGGGTGCGAGGGGCCCGGATCCCAGAGGTCACCCTGGGCCGCCCCGTGGCCCTCGCTGTCGTCACAGGTGTGCTGAGGAGGAGAGTCAGAGTTCAGGGAAGGGACCGGCTGTGGGCCCTCCCTGTCCCCTCCTGCGGCCCGGTCCCCGGGCCCCGCCACAGCCCCGCGCCTGCCTCTGCGACAGGTCCCTTCCCTGGTGTGACCCTGGTGGCCTTGGAAGGGCAGGGCGTCGGCGGGGATGCCGTGGTGGCGGCTGGTCCCAGGGCGCGTCCTGTGACCCCACAAGGGATGGGCTCAGCCCCCAGCCAGGACACAAGGCACGGCTGGTCCCGGGCCTGGGGAGACCCAGGGCTCCCTCCCTCCCGCTGCGTCCGGCTGGCCATCACCCCCCAAGGAAGAGGCCATGGGTCGACCCACAAGTCTGGGTTGAGTCGGGGAAACTGAGGCAGGGGGCTGCTAGCCGACCCTGGCCCTGCTCTGTGTGGACGCCTCCCAGGCCCGCCGGCTCCCTGGAGGGGGGTCCTCAAGACACCCCCAGAGCTGGGCGGTCACTGCCCCCAAAGCTCAGAATTTTTGTCACCCCGGAAGGAGAGCCCCAGTACCCACGGGCCCCAGCGACCGCCACCAGTCTGCCGTGTGTCCCTGTGGCGTTTCCTGCCTGGACACGGCCCGTGGACAGAGCCCCACACCACGTGGCCCTCACACCGTGACTGACGGGCGGTCGGTGTGCTGGCATGGTCAGCCCCCTCCCACCGCGTGGACGGGCCCGGGGCATCAGCTGCTTGCTGGGCGGCAGAGCCAGGTTGGGGGGCCTGTAGGGGAGGGGCCGGCCGGCCACCGGGCTGACTGCATGTCTCCCTGTCTTGCAGCTTCCTCATCGTCCTGGTCTGCCTCATCTTCAGCGTGCTGTCCACCATCGAGCAGTATGTCGCCCTGGCCACGGGGACCCTCTTCTGGATGGTACGTACGAGTCGCCGCCCTGGGGCTCCGGCCTCCCGGGCGTGTGCTGTGGACGGCAGCGTGCTTCTCCCAGCTCCCCCGCCTGCCTGCCTGCCTGCCTGCCTGCCAACCCTGGCCAGCAGCCTCGGTTGTCTTGACCCCGCAGACTGGAGGTGGGAGGACCCCCCCCACGCCCAGCTCTGGGACTCGCCAGCATGTGACCATTGGACTGGGAGGCCTGGGGCAGAAGAGCAGCCTGAGGCTGGTGTTCTGGGAGGGCTGCCTGGAGGAGGAGGCCTCTGAGCTGGGCCAGAAAGGAAGGACAGGAGGATGTGGGCACGAGGAGCTGGGCCGTGGTCGGCAGGGACTTGCCCAAGGCTGCCCTTTGGCCCCAGGTCTGGGCGACCCTTGACCGGGACCGAGGCTGGCACACAGACCCTGCCGTGGTCCCAGCCCCGGGCCGCCCCCCCGACCCTCCACCCCCACCACCTGGGCGGCCCCGTCCGCTGCCCTGTGAGGCTCTCACCCTCATGTCCGGGTCCCCTGGCCCCCGAGGAGGGTGCAGGGGCATTGGCGAGAAATTGCCAGCGCCCGGCCTGGGCCCCTCATCTGGAAGCCCCTCCCTGCCCAGCCAGCTGTGAGCCCCTTGGACAGCGCCTGGGACTGCCCGGGGCCTCGGGCCAGCCTGGCTGAGCCAGGGGCCTGCCGCCAGGGCGGATCACGTCATGGGTCACGCCGAGCCAGGTGCCAGGAACACATGACCTCACGGAGGGGACCCGCCCCCACGTGGCCCTGGCTGCCAGGCCTCCCAGAAGGTGGGGTGTGGGGCTGGCCACACCCCCAGGTGGCCGCCTGAATGGTGGGGGCCAGCTGTGCCCATGTCTGTCTGGGGCGTGTGGCGTGTTCTCGTGTGTGGTTGTGTGGTTGTGCACCCCCCACCCCGACACCCCACCTGCCCACCTCCAGCCGGCTGGTGGCTGGGTGCCGGGCACGTCGGGGCTGCCTGGCCTGGTGGCCCGGTCAGCGGGGCTCTGTGTCCTGTGTGGCCCTGCGGCAGACCTGAGCCCCTCCCACAGGAGAAGGGGAGTCACCTTCATGCCCACCCTCCCGCGCTCCCGGAGCCCAGGTCAGGGCCAGTCTCTCCCTTGGGTGCTCGGAGGGGTTCGGCCGGCGTCTCCTGGCACCTGCACAGGTCCCTCTGGTGACCTCAGATCGCTGGTGGCACTTGGGACAGCCCCTCTTACACGTCCCCTGGTCTCCAGGCCACTCCTGGCCCCTGGCGTGAGGCCACCCTTTCACCATGAACCACGCGTCCAGGAGACAGTGCACCCACTTGGGGTCCCCTGTTCTGGGCCACTGGTCTGAGTGACCTCGTGGCCCAGGGCCGCCGGCTTCAATGATGAATGCGCCAAAACCCTTCTTACCTTCCGCGCGGTTCCGTGCCGCGCCCGGCTCCTCTTCTGGGGACGCCACGTCTCGCTGGCCGGCTCTTCCCGGGGGGGACGTCACACCCAACCGGTCGGGCTCCTGGAGGGGACATGGACAGTGTTGGACAAGTGGACGTGGGGAGGGGGGTGCCTGAGGGGTGGGGGGCCCTGTCCCCGGTTGAAGCACATCCGTCAGGCGGGGCCGGCGGCGGCCGAGGAGCTCACATCTGCCTGCCAGTGGCTGCGCGGTCACTCTCGGCTGCCGTCACACGCGGGGTCTCCTGCCTCTGTGCTCCCTGCCATTTGGTTTTTGGTGGCTGCCGGCTTCGGCCCTGGGCCGGCCTGCTCTCATCGTTGGCGGTTTTCTCTCCGGTCTCCGGGGCCTCCCGGGGCCGTGGAGCACGCAGAGGCGCACGAGGTGCGGTGACAGTACTGGGCGCGGGGCCTCGGCCGTGGCTCCGGCTTCCTCGGGCCTGAGCTCCCGGCCGCCCCTGAAGGCACGTGCCGGCCCCCGGGTGGTGCAGAGGCCCTGGGTCCCACGTGACGGTGGAGTTCTGACGTGCCGGGGCTGACTGGTGTCTTTCCTGCCTCCGTGGGGCGAGGGGGGGTCCCCACGTCGACCCGCTTGCTTTTCTGGGAGGAGCTCCCACCCCCAGGCCCTGGTGTCTGGGTGTCACTGTCCTGTGTTAGGTCGGGTCTCCCGTGTGAGTGGGGGACGGCCACCGTGCCAGTGAGGGGGGCAGCATCACATGGCACTCCTGCGTCCACCCTGTTCCCTGTTCCTGGGGGACCCGCGGGAGCAGCAGCCCCGTCTGTGCGGAGGCCCCAGGGCCGCAGCTCCCTGCGCTCGGGCGCTGGTCCCCGTCCACCCCTGCCGGTGAGCGGCGGGCAGGGGCAAGGTGCCCTCACGGGTCCTGTGCCTGCTTCCGGTGGGGACGGCCCCTGCCCCTGGCTGGCCCCCTGCCCCCGGCCCCCTGCCAGACCGCAGGGGAGGAGCCGGGCGAGGAGAGACGAGAAAGAGCGGTGTCCCTGGTGCTTCAGGTCATCACGGCGACGGGGGCCCCGGCCTGGACCCCACACGGTGTGTCCGCTCTGCGAGCTGCCCCTCAGGTCCTGCCCTCCCAGCCTTGGCCACTGAGTGCCCGATCCAGGTGGGGACTGAGGCCGAAGGGGCCGCAGGGGAGACCTGCCAGGCCCGCTGGGCACCTCCTCTGAGCCTGCCCTCCTCCCGAGGGCCAGCGCTGTGGGCCCCAGGCCCGGGAGGGGACGGGGACCTGTGACCAGCACCAGGCCGGCCTCTCGTCCCCATCTGGGTTTCCTGGGGCGGCCATGGCGAGACCCCAGAGGGCAAGGCGGCCGAGACCACAGACACCTACTGTCCCCGCTGTGCCCTGGCACCCTCACGTGCGACACTCTGCTGGAAATCTCACCGAGGGGCTGGGGGTCACCCCGCGGCAGCCCCCGCCCTGCACTCTGGACGGGGCAGGAGCAGCACCCTCCCCAGCCCGGGCTTCTCCCGTTCAGGCAGAACTCGCTGTCCAATCTCAGGGCGCAGTGTGGCCCGGAGCAGGGGGAGGGGGCTGAGGGCTCTGGTCCGAACCCGGCTGCCCACCCCCATCCCCAAATCCCCTGCCCTTTGCCCCCTGACCGCCTTCCCTCCCTGGTGCTGCCGGCTCACTCCTGACATCTGTGAGGCACGCCTGCCACCTGGTGGCCAGTCTCTGAACTGCGGGTGCACTGCCCCCAGCAGAGGGCGGGGACCCAGCATGGGCTGGGCTGGGCTGGGCCCGCGGAGGGCTGGGCGTCCGGCACCCTCTCTCTCTGGGATGTGGGACACCCTCTGTCACTGGGATGTGGGACGGGTGTGCCCAGAGCACAGAGCCCGTTCCCACCGTGGCCCCCCCTTCCAGTCCGCCCCTCCGAGGGCAGAGACCTGGGGCTGTCCCCCTTGTCCCCCACGGTCCCTTGTCCGCCCCCTCCTGGCCACCCTCGTCCCGCCGGGCAGCCACTCCGTGCAGCGGCCACAGCCCAGGGAGGGGGCTTGCTTTCCAATGCCTGAACATTCCAGAAGCTCCCCGAGGCACTGAGGATGGACTTGGCCTCCCCGGGCCCCCCCCGCGGGCCCCCACGTCCGTCCGCCCTCAGCCCCCCGCCCCCTCCCCTTGGGTGCACTCTCGCTGACCCCGACACTCCCGCTGCCTCGGGCCTTCCCCCCGCGCTCTGGCATGCTACGGGACCGGCTTCCCGGCCAGCTCCCGGCCCAGCCCGCCGGCCCTGCCGCGGCACCCCCCGCACCCCGAGCTGCCCTCCCCTCGCCCCCCATCCTCTCTGCCCGGTGCGTGCCGGGGCTCTGTGGTGGGCTCAGTGCCCAGCTCCACCTCACTCGCCGCGAGGAAGGCCCGGCCGGGCTCACCCGCCGCCTGCCCAGTGGGGGGCTCCCTGGGGCTGGAGCCCCCTCCTTTGAGTCCCCGTGCCCAGAGCTGCCCCCACGGCACACCCCAAGTTGCTGTAGGGTCTCAGGCCTCGGTTTCCCCACCTGTGAAATGGGGGTGGTGGGCAGGATGGCCTCAGACATACCCTCCAAAGGTCTTGCTGGGTGTGCAAGGCCTGCCCAGCTCTCGAGCTGGCTGTGTCTGGCCGGGGGTCATGGCCGAGGAGCTGGGGGACACTGGGGGGGACAGTGGAGACAGGGCAGCCGGGGGACCACCCCCGGGGGCAGATGTGAGTTGGGTCAGGACTGGCTAGGGAAGGTGGGGTGAGGGGAAGGGAGTCGGGGGGTGGGACACGTCTCAGGGGTGCCGAGGGCTTCCTGGAAGAGGGGGCGCCCTGCTAAGGGAAGGGAAGGGGGATGCAAGGAAGTTCTGGGAGGGGGCCCGGACCGGCAGGGTCCCCCCACCCCACAGCTCACCGCACCAGGGCTCTTGGTACAGGGGGAATCTGGGGGCTTTCTGGGGAGGTGTCCGTCTGCGGGGGGTGGGGAGGGTGCGGACCCCGGGCAGAGGCAGCGGACAGGGTGGGTGGGGCGAGAGCCCAGGGAGCAGCCTTTGCAGCCCCCCAGTCCCGGGCGCAGAGCCCGCCGGGCTGCAGGACAGCAGGTGGCGCTGTTGTCAGAGAAATGAGGGCGACGCTGGCGTGGGGCCCGGGGCGCGGGAGCCCGACCACAGCCCCGGAGCCAGGAGGGGCCGCGGGTGGGCTCCGTGCAAGGGCTGCGAGAGCAGCACGAGGTTCCGATGGTGGAAAAAAATGCACTCCAAGCTGTGTTTTCCCAGAGAGCCCATATTTCTTCCTCTTTTTTTTCCTAAGCTCTGCTTTCTGGTGCCAGAAAGCTGTTATCTCGGCCGGGGCGAGGAAGCCCCAGGCGGCCGAGGAGGGATTAAGCGTTCTGCTGAAGCAGGGATATTTGGGGGGCCTGAAAAAGCCATTTTGCTGGAATCTCATCTCTGCTGTGGGGTCTGCCCGGGGCCTGTTAGCAGGCACGTCCTCCGTCCCAGCTTTGTTTGTGGTTTCCCAGGGAAGAGGGCCCCTTCTGGGGCCGCTGGGGGGGCTGCCGGAGGGTCCCCGTGCCCGGAGCGAGCCCCCCCGGCCCATGGGCGT